AGATTATGTTACACACTTATGAACAAGAATGGAATGGAATCCTTTATTGTTTAAAGCAGCAAGTATATATATATGTGAGAACAAGGAAAGGTGAAGAATTCTGTGGAAGGTGAAAAGATCACCAGAAGAAAGAAGAAGACGAATACACACACATATATGTATAGGACAAAAGAAGATATAGATGAAACACATATGACGTCGTAACAAAGAACGGCAGAGATGATACACATACGATGATGCCACTTAACACACATGTGACAATATTTTTTAAAGTGATTATTTTCACGTGAAAATAATTGTTGACTGAAAGATTAAGTTAATCAATGCATGATTTTCTATGCATTCTGACAATGAAAGTAAAATGTCTCTGTTTCATCAACAGATATTCTTTTTGTTGTTTTCTTCGTCATCAAAAGATTCTTTCCATTTCATAAACATCACATTTTACAAAATTTTCGATGTAATTGTTTGTAGTCTACTCAGAACTATAATAGTAAAAATTACTTCCTAGAGAAACTCGTAATCTAAACAACAATTATATCAACATTGATAATATGAAAGATTTTTGTAGAGAATACAAACATCAATAGTATTGGAACATGCGTATAATTAAACAGAAAGAATGGACAATTTTTTAAGTAACGTATTTTTACAGAAGAAAGAAATTTGTATAAAAAAATCGATCATTTCTTGATTTAAACAATCGGTGTACGTATCATACTTGGTTATTGAACGATTATTTTGTATAGATAAATAGATAAGATCCATAATTTGTCTTGAATAAAAACAAACTTTTGAGTCGAATTTTTATATTTACTATGATTCCAAATAATAAACAAATTGGAATAGAGAACTTTATTCATTTTCATACTTCATCCGCTTTCACATGTCATAGACTTTATATTTATCAATCTCAATAATTAACAATTAGTATTAGTTATTAACTATTTGTAAAGTAAAATATCTTCTCCCCGTATTTTCTTTAAAGAGAGTGATTACTAAAAGTAATATTCATATAAATTTCAATCTCGCTTTAAATAATTCAAAATTCGTTAACTCAAAATTAATGCATATACGAAATAATTTGAAATTTACTTATCTTAAAAGAACATTTCAGTTGACTAAAATTAATTGAAATATTTTATCCAAAACGACATGTAGATCAATTTCAAAAAAAATGTAAGCAAAAATTTTTCGACCAGACATAATCACTCATTGCATATTTGTTAGTTAGCTTTTATCAAGTATATCTTTTAGATCTTCATTATGTTGTCTTCTATCAGCTCTTCGAAATCAACGAGATATTGTCATACTAAACTTCTAATGATGAAACTGATCTTTAAGCAAGATCAATGAATAATTCACAACCAATCTCTTAAATAAATTATCTCTCATATGACGGAAATAAATACGGAAATTTTCCACCAATATTGTGTAATAAAAACAAAACCACTATGACAAATTTCATTTGGCCGATTCTATTATTTAGTAGTAATCTGCTACATTTTTCTAGTATACAAACAAACAAAAATTCAAGTTTTATCAATATATATTGACAAAATAACAAAAAAACAACAAGAACAAAAAAAAACAAGAACAAAAAAGAACAAGAACAAACAAAACAGGAACAAAAAACACAAGAACAAAAAAACAAAAACAAAAGCAAAAAAAGAGGGAGCTAAACAAAACAACAGACAGCTCCCACCACCCCCTCTATATTTCTGCCCGTGCTCTTCTTTCACCACGACCACCCATAAGAACACTAACACCACGACCACTACCACCCATGCCACTATCACGACCTAAACCATCGCAACGACCGCCACCCCACCCACGACCACCTCCACCACGTCCTCTAGCACCCTCCACCCAATCACCACTGCCCCTCCATCCTCCTCCTCCTCTCCACCGTCTTCTCCCTACCTCCCACTCCCGGGGCTCTGCCAGCAACACCTCCAGTAGTTCTGTTGCCACCGCCAGCTCCTGCTTTAAGTCCTTCACCTCCTGCTCTGCCGCCACCATACGCGCCCCCCACCTCGCCGCCAGATCTTCGACTGCATTTGCCCGGGCCTCCCACTCCTTTGCCTGGGCCTTCCACCTTGACTCTTGTCGTGCAGTAGTTGGTGGTGAAAGTACCTAAAATACGCAACATTAAAATAATCAATACCGAAAAAAAATTGAATAGTAAAAGAAATTATCGGACATAAAAAAGATTAGAAAAACCGGTCACTATGCTATTGAGAGGATAGAAATGACAAAATGAGAATAAAAAAATCAACCAAGTATGATTTTGTGTAATATTTTTTCTAATTATAACTCAGTTTATTCATACCGTGTTTGTGTTCACGTCATTCGGTTTGCGCATAATTTTTTGTTTTCTCAATGAAGCACGATTAAAAAATGAAACGTCCACGAGCAAGAAAATAATATTTATACGTGAAGAATAACGACAACGAGAGAGAGAAAAAAAAGTAGCCACCAATAGGCAACATTTTTTCTCTGTTTTTTGTTCTAAGGGTTGTATATCTATGAAAAGGTCAACTATCGAACACAGTGTGGAAGAAAAGAATGGAAAGAAAAAGATTACTATGACGATAAGCAAAAAAAAAGTAATGTGCTATCATATAACAGCCGGCTGTTTGTGACTGTACAATGAGAGCACGTATATCAGTACAAAAAGCAAAAAGATATTAATCTAGTCTAACACACATAGAAACCAGTTTTCTTCAAGAAAACTACTGATTGGTTCATTTCTAAATGAGGGTGTGAGTGAGGTATGGGTGTGTGTAGGTGTGGGTGTGGGTGTGGGTATGGGATGTGGGTGTAGGTGTGGGTGTGGGTGTGGGTGTGGGTGTGGGTGTGG